TCAAACAGCGCCAGGCCCAGCCATTGGCAAGAGCAGGGCCGGCAGCCAGGTCCAGGGGGCTCACTTCCTCCGGCCACATAAGGCCCATCTCCATCCCTAGAGGGTCTGGTGGAGGCTGATTCGCCCCAGAGGCAAAGGCAGTGATGTCAAGAGGCGAGAGAAAAGGGAGGGAGGGAGGGGGAGAAGAGGGACAAGGCAGCCGTGCAGAGAGCACTGGAGTGGCCCCCCACTCCCAGCCAGGGCCCCAGTCCCCTCTGAAGCTTCCCCTGAGGGCATGAAAGTCCCCTCTCTAGAAGGCGTCTGGGCTTTTACCACTTGGTCAACCTTTGATACCTCCGTTCTGAACCCTCTGCCGATCACTCCTGTCAGCAGACAACCCCATGGAGCAAAGGCTCCTGGGAGGAGAGAACAGGATTCCAGAACCCTTTGTGATCAAAGGGTGCTTCCTCCATGCCCAAGGCTGCTGGAGAAGGGGTGGGGTGTGTGCCCCTTCCCACACCACACCCTGGGCCCACTCTTGCCTAGTCTCATGAATTCAGGCCACACCTCACCTTGGGAAAGAACACGTCCCGGGTGTAGCGATGTGTCCCCACACTAACTTCCCAGCCACCAGCAAGGACAAGACCCCGCCACAGACGTCCGACTGAGAAAGCCCTCTGGGCGGGTCAGTGCTCACTCCTCTCTCTGTCCTTGCCTCCAGCCCGCCGCCCTCTCTCCCTCCCCCTTTCTCCTGACATGGGCACGGCATGGTGGCCGCCCACAGGAGCTGGGTGAGGGCCAGCCTCCCAGTCACAGTCCATCCAAGCAACGTCCTTCTCCCCGTCCAGAAAACTAGGACTCTGGGAGGCCCCGTGACTTGGGAAGCCTCCAGGATAGCACGTCTGAGAACCAGGTGCTCACACCACCCATCAGCCTGGGACCATAGGACTTGGAGGCAGTGGAGAGAGTGACCTCTCAGGACCATAGAGACTTGAAGCCCAAATGGAGAGAGGGCAACCTCCTGCCCTCAGAGGGTGGAGACCTGGCCGTGCAGGGTGAGGGAGCAAGGGAAACCAGGATGCTCTTTCATGGGGGAAAGGGGTGGGGTGCCAAGGGTAGCAAGTGAAAGGATTACCCCAGTGGACTGACGAGTGCAAATTATATTTATATATGTGCTAAATACAGTCACTATATTGCAGTTTTCCACTAGCTCACAGCATACAGAATCAAAGGTTTGCATTTCGTATGGAATGTATCCACAGAGGCCAGCACCACAGGAGGACAGCTGCGATCACACACCCTGATAGTTTGGACGAAAGAAAGTTCGCGGAATCTCATGGAAAATTTTTTTGTGTGTTTTTTTCCTTTTTTTTTTTTTGTATTCGTAGTTGTCATCGTACTAATGCATGCAAAGCATTCCACTCCCAGAAACAACGCCAAATGAGGTAATAGGAGTAATAAAAAAAATTAGTATCCTTTCTAAATAAATAAATTATAATTAAAAATGCAAAACAACTATAAAAATAATTAAATAAGAACCCACAGTATATCTACAAGTTAGTCATAAATTATGATTGTTAAATATAAGGCATTTTAAACTCACAAAACCCTGTAAACTAGCAACGTGCCATGGGGTTTATTTATTTCCTTTTTATTTTTTTTCGGGTTTTTTTTGTAGTGTTTTTGTGTTTTTTTGTTTTGTTTGTTTTGTTTTTCTATCAGCTGAAACTGCTCTAGCATTTGCTCTACGCGCGCAGAGATGAACCACGAGGGGAGGGGGACCTGACAGACGTTGCTACAGCCCCACGCGGGGAGTGTTTGTCCCGCCTGGAGGAGGGGGGACCCTTGAGGGGGGCTGGAGAGGAGGACAGAGTAAAACAATGGTGCTTTTTCTTCACCATGGAAAAGACTGTGCTTGTTTGTAGGCGTAAAGAGTCGAGGATGCTCGCACGGAGCCTGGGCACACTGCAGGGAAGGAGCTTGAGTGGCCGCCACAGGCGCTGGGCAAGGGCTCGGGGGGCTGGAGGGGGTCCTGGCTGGGCAGGGGAGTCCCTCTGGCCCTGCCCGGCCCTCACCCTGCCCGCCCACCCGGCTGGGCTCGTGGCGTTGGCTGGGTTGATTGGTGGGTGTCCTCATGGGCCGGCCATGGCTGTGGCCTGGAAGCCCATCTTGAATCCCGGGGCAGCTCTCTCCCCAGAAGGCACTCATGCGTCTCAGTCAAGAAGGGGTCTGAGTCCCTGGAGTTGAGCAGAAGGAGCACTACAGGTGGCTCTCCCTCCTGGGGTGGTGGATGTGAGATGCTGAGGCCGGACCCCATCGCCTCAGGACTTCCGGTGGGTCAAATGGGCGGCCCTGGGGAGCAAGAAGCAGAGACCCTTCTCCGCCCTTCTCACCCTGGGAAAGCCAGGATCCAGGAGGGGTCTGCGTCCACATCCCCCTGCCCCGACTTGTAGGGTGTCCCAGAGAGGTGGGAAGGAGTGGGTGGCCTCCAGGAGCTGTCCCCAAGGTTAGCAGCTTACCTCTCCTCTCTGGATGCACCCCCATCCCCATCCCTAATATGGACCTGGGGGTACACAGGGAGCTTGCAGAGAACTGGGAGGGAAGAGAGGAGGAAGTCCCACTCTGGGACTTAGAGTGTGTGCCCTGGGCCTTGCCACAGATGCCAGAGGGGCCTCGTCAATTGCTCTGCCATCTCGGGAGGAGAGGCGCTGAGATCAAGGAGCGTCGCGGAATGTGAGCTTTGGGCAGCAAGCAAAGATCCGACCCAAAGTCCTCATGTCACCGTCGAGGAAACTCAGGCACAGAGAGGAGAAGGGCATTTCTACCACGGCCACCGACGGCCACCACTGAAACCCAGGCCTTTGGTGCTGGCTCCGGCCTGGCTTCCCCTCCACGGATCCCTTTCTACCTGCTAGCCTTTCAAGCCAACGTCAGGAGGAGGGACAAAAGACTGGACACGCAGAAAGGAAGCCACCTTCCTAGACCACCCCAGGCAAAGCCTTCACCTGGTGGAACGGGAGAGGATGCCCAGCCTCCGGCGGCTTGCTGGCTTTCCCTCCTGGCCGGATGGGCAGTGCAGCTCTGGAGCCATGCATGCTCACCGCCCTCATGGCCCTTGACCCAGAATCGTAACACCCGCCCACTTGGCATGGTGGGTGCACAGGCCTCCCCCTCCCCGGCTGGACTAGAAGCTCCTCAAGGCAGGAGCGGGCACGTTGGCTTTCGCAGCCCCTGCACCGGTAGGCACTCGATAACTATTTCAGAGAACAGCCAGGAGCTCGGGGCTGGGAGAGGCCCGAGTCTTGCAGGAAGGTTTTCAGCACAGCTGCCAGCCCTCGCTGAGCGCAGGGGTCCGGAGCAGGGGCTGCTCTCTGCTGGACAGCTCCAGAGGAGTGAGAGAGCTCAACCTCGAGCCAAAGCCGGCCTCCCTGTGGGTCGCTGTCACCGGTCCTGATTTGTTGTCATGCGTTACCATTGCACCCATCCCAACTCCTCCCGTAGCAATGCCCACTCCAGCTTCCTCTGCTGACCACCCTTCCTCTACAGGATGGTGAGGCTTGTTCCCTTAGGCCTTTCTTAGGAATGCGAGGGCACTGGAACTGGGGTTCAGGGTTGAGAGGAGGGGAGGTGGTGGGCTTTTGGAGGCAGTGCACAGGAGGGGCGAGGCAGGTGAGGGGGCAGAGGAAGTCAGCAGAATTCCAGCTGACCTAGAGTGTTCCACATGTGGATCAAGAAAGTTGGGTTTGGGATGGATCTGGCCGATCTCCATAGTCCCACTCTCCCATCTACCTGGGCGCGCTCTCTCGGGTCCAGAAAACTGGCGGGGTTGTGCAGAAAGACCTAGAATGTTCAAGACGGCCTCTTCTGCCATGCCCCAGGAGCAATTCCCAAGGAGATGTCCAGGGGAGAGAACAGAGGTCATTGGGCAGGTGGTGGTACCCTTCGCAATATCTACAAGAAGGTGGAGGGAGTGATAGCGGGGGTGTGCTGCAATTTCTCTTCATTATAGGAGGAGGAAACTGAGGCACAAAGAAAGAAAGGGACTTGTCCAAGGTCATCAAACCTCAGAGGAAGAGCCACTGGCTGGAGAGAGTGCCTCTCACACTTGGTTTTATGATGGATGACACCAGGACTTGGGCCATCCCAGAGGGTGCCAAGACCCTCTCCAACATTCACCAGGCTGGATCTCAGCCCCCAAGGGCCAGCAGACAGCACTTTGGCCAAGACCGAACGTCCAGCCTGTCAATCCCCAATGGTCATCATCTGGTTCCTGTTTTGCATAGGGAGGCAGTGGGTAGCTTGCCTCTCTGGGAGGGTACACGCACAGCCAGAAGGGTGGCATGAGGTGGGGCATCCTGGCTCTGAGGAGCCCCTCAGGGGTAGTGTAGGGTGGGGGAAGCCAAGAAGATGAGCCCTCTCTCACAACAGAATGGCCCTGCTTCCTTGCCTGCCCCACCAGCGGCTTCCTAACCTCAGCGCAGCCCCTCTGAGGCCCGGCTGAGACCTCCATCCACTCCTCTCTCCCGAAGGTGCTCCCTCCCACACTCCGTGCACTGTAAACATGAGAACAACAAAGCGAAGGGAAAAAATGAAACGGAAAAACGAGACACCCCGCCCCCCTGCCTCCTACCCTGGGTGGGAAAAACAAATCATCTTTTCTCACCGTAAACAGGATTTGGCTTTTTTTTTTTCTTCCCCTCCCATTTTTCGTTTTCCCTTTTCTCTCAAAAAAGACAGGAAGATTGGGGCTGCTGTTGGTCGGTTCAGTCAGGCACCCGCACAAGGAACTCGATGAGAAATATTTGGTGCGAATTCGGTACGAGCGACATGTCCACCACAGATGACAGGAGTACCACACACAACGTTTGTCTGAAGCTAACATGCTCCGGCTGCCACCGCAGCAAGAGCCGGGGACCCCTACATGGTTTCTACGTGGTCGAGAGGTATATATATACAATCCTTCAAGGGGCAGGATTGAGGGGCCGGTGTGTCAGCTAGAACCTTCCGGATCACACCTCCACTCTCAGCAGCATGGGCCCCCCCTTCCCACCCCTGCTCTGAGAACGGCCAGCTCCCTCCCTCCCGGGCAGCAAAGCGGGTGGGGGCAGTCACCAGTCTGCCTGGCCGGGTGCCTCCCCTACCCCTGCTTTCCCTCGGACACCCATCCTACCGACTCCTCTTTCCGCAAAATGTGCTTGCAGGCGTTTCCTCTGCATCAAATGGCTCAGAAGGCAAAGTTTGGCTGCAAGGGCTATGGCCGTGGGGGGGACCTGGTGAAGGAAAATGGGGCGCTCACTGGCTCACTCCTCCCTCAGCTGTCCGCTCCCAATTGCGTCTCAATGTCCACCCGGCAGATGGGGCATTTCTTGCTCATGGCGAGCCACTGGTCCACGCACAGTTGATGGAAGAGATGCATACAGGGTAAACGTCTGGAAGAGAGGAGGGAGGGTCAGAGAAGAGGCCCGGCAGCGGCAGCGGGTGGGGGGCAGACTGCACCAGAAGCTCAGGTGGCAAAGGGGAGGCTGCTGAGGGGCCAGGGACACATACATGCAAGACCCCTGGAGGATTGACCCAAGGGGGTCTTAGGAGGAACCCTTGCGGTTGAGGTGAGAAAGAGGAGCAGCAGGTGGAGCTCAAAGCCTTCTTCCTCCGCGGTGCCCTTGCAGACCCGCCCGAAGCACATGAAGCCTTCGTCCCAGTCCCGCCCAAGGACAGCACCACACGCACCCTTGTCGCCCTGGGCACCACACTCCATCCCCTTCACAGGGCAGCCGGGCAGCCCACTGCTGTCTACTGGACCCACTCACACGGCCGAGCAGGCGGATGCCCGGCCTCGGTCCTAGAGTGCTGACGGACACCCACAAGCGAAAGGAGAGGGTGTCCGAAGGGCTGGCCTCCTACCTCACGTCCTCTCCGTCTTCCAGCATCGACAGGCAGATGGTGCATTTCTCATCCGTGTCGCACTCCTCCCCCTCGTCCTTCCTGCCCTTGGCATCCTGGGGTCTTCGCTGCGAGGAGCAGAGAGAGGAGTGGACTCACCCGGTGGCCACTGCCTTTCATACCCAGCCTCCTGCCTCCTGGGCAGGGCCCCGGCTCTCCCTCCCGTGAGCCTGATTCTTTTGTGTCCTTGAATAGAGCCCAGACTCCCAGCTCAGCTGCAGGATACCTCCCCCGCTCCCCCCCCCCCAAATAAAACCCCAACCCCCCTGCCACTGAGGCGATCCGACTCCCTAGCAACCCTCTAAGACAAGACAGAACTGCCCCTGAGAGTTTCTGAGACTAACTCTTAGGGGAACTGAGAGCCCCGTCTTTCTCAGCAGATCGCAGCCCGGTGCACAGCCACGACCCCTCTAGGGCTCCCTGCTGCAGAATAGACGGGGTTAAGGTCAAGCGAGGAAGAGACCAAGTAGACTTTCTGCTTGCTGCCCCGGCACTTTCGAGGGGCATAGAATTTGAAAAAGAATTGGCCACCTCATGAATCCCAGCGGTCACTTCTGCCTGAAGAGCTGTCCCGTCCTGTTCGGCACTTGCTGCCCACTCCTCCCAGCTGCCTTCCCTGCCTAGCCCCTGCCTCGAGCCTTCTCCCTCCACTGTCAGCTAGCACACTCCATGCACTCATTCACGCTTCATTCGGCATCAGTGTACACACGCATGCACGCGTGCATCCCCAGAGGGAGGCCTTGGGTTGGAATACAGCAGGAGGTGAGAAGGAGGCAGGGCCGAGCAGCAGCTAGTTCGGGAACACACGTCCTGGAAGGCTGCCGTGGGTCAGCGCTGGCACGAGGGCACCTCGTCAGAACACGGCGAGGAGCGTGAAGGTCCTGGGCCTGGCGGTGACTCCTGCCATTTGCTCCACGCTGCTGTGAACTTGCTTTCGCTTCTCTCTCCGCAAGTTCCTCTACAGCGGGCACCAGAGGATGCACTTGGAACCCTGTGGGCGCGCTGTTTCTTCTTGCTGACTGGAACCGCCCTAATGATGTGGGCACAGCCAGCCTCTGAGGAGAACGCTCCGTGTTCTTGGATGGTGGGGACGACGGCGGACATCACACCTGGCAGGTGCGGTGCAGATCATACCGTTGGTGCTTAGTGAGCAGGCTGGGAGGACGGCATCTCCTCGGTGAGTGGCTTCAGCCCTCCTTCTGAGCTGGCTCCCGTCTGCACGCCATGCAGGGAAAGGCCAGCTGCTCAGGGTGCCCAGGGGAAGATAGCTTCCCACCCTGGGCCCTCTCCAGGGACAAACTGGCTGAAAGGTCACTTTGCAAGGAGAAAAATCTAAAGGGTCACAAGGTGGATCCCTCAGAGAATGACGTAGGTACAACGGCCAGCTGCTGGTCTCCCAATTCTGGACCCTGCCCCTCAGCTCTGGCTGAGTGGCGTGGCCCCTAGTCTGACTTCGCCTGGGGAGCCCTGTCATCTCCCAGCAACATCCTCTTGGATGTTCAAGTTCCCTGCCCCTGCCCTCAGCCTGGCTGGGTGGACACGCACTGGGCATGGTGCGGGGCTTCTGCAGTAAGTCTCCTCCTTGTCAGAATCCAGGACACTAGAATCGCATCCGCCAAAAGGCGAAACCTACTGCTGTCAACTCGGTCCTGACTCACAGCATCCCGTAGGCCAGAGCAGAGCTGCCCCCTGGGCCTCCAAGGCTGTCAATCCGCAGGGACGTGGACGGTCTCTTCTTTCTCCCATAAAGCAGCTGGTGGTTCCACCACTGCTCTCAGCGATCAGCACCCACGGTCACCACTGCACCCACAGCCCCATGTGATTGCTCCGGGGTCTGACTCTGAGGAGGGTCGCGGTCATCTGTAGACGGAGTGGCCTTCCCTCAACTGGTCCTGCTCGTCCCGAGGGATGGCCAGTAAAGTGACAGCATCCAGGCTCAACTACTGCCTATTCCCCATGATGTCTTTTGCAGTCTTGTTATGTTTTCCATTGTGTATTTTTTCCACGATGTCTGGTTATCATTAAGCACTGTGGCTTAAGAGCCTCACCTTCCTTACGATGCCTGATGGGCATCTCTTTCAGCGACGCTGCCTTTTCCAGCCCCCTCCTCTCTCGAGTTCCTAGGTCCAAGCTGTGAGGTCTTCTGGCTTGTGGTCTTCTCTTTTTGGAATCCGAACATTGCGCTTTCTCAGGATCGGAGACTGGACTTGGGATCCATTACTTTATTCTTCTTCTTTAATTAAAAGATCATTTTGGGGGGGTTCTTACAACTCATCACAATCCATACATCAATTGCATCAGGTATGCTTGTACATATGTTGCCATCATTCTTTTCGAGACATTTACGTTCTATTGAGCCCTTGGTATCAGATCCTCTATTTTCCCCTGCCTCCCTCATCCTCATGGCCCCTAGATTATACATTATTATTATTTTCATATCTCACACTGACTGCTGTCTCCCTTCCCCCATGTTTTCTGTTATTCTTCCCCCTGGGGGGGGTGTGTATGGTTATGTGTCGATCATTAGGCAAATCCTAGCCTTCTGTGCAGGTGCCCTTCACCCAGCTCCTCGGGTACCAGCATGCCTGCACACACCATACGGCATGTCCACTCTCACAGGTCAGTAAGCACACGCAGGAGCCCAGTCTCCCTTCCTTATGGCCCCTCTGCAGAGACAAGCGAGAAGACAAGCCCCCGTCCTGCCCCACCCCACACACACACACACATGAAGGTGTCGAAGCTTCAGAGCATCGAACTTGAGCAGAGGCTTCTAGGTTTGGGGGATGACTCTGTCTGAGGCACCCCCACGCCACGGTCCCGCCTGCAGACTGACTTGCTGGCCGACTCACCTTCTTGTACTTGTGGGGGAAGGTGAACCTTTCGATGGTGTTCTGCACAGCTCCCCGCGTCACCGTCCCCAGCCTGTCCTCGAGCTGCAGAAGCTCCTGCAGAGGGACAGCGTGGGCCATGCAGCGAGGGCGCCTTATGCGCACGCACACACATGCACACAGCAGGGGTGGGGTGGGGCCGTCTCGGGCCAACTCGAGTGCTGAGCGCTGACAAAGGCCCTCGGGAAAAACTCTCCCGATGCAGAACGGCCACAAGGCAACCTCTCCCTCACGCCCATCCCCCCACCCCCACGCCCGAGACCACCCACCGCTCACCCCGACCCGGCAGCAGTGAAGCGGGACAAGGTGGCATCTCCACCAGCCTCGTCGCTGCGGGGCTGGCAGGAGGATGGCCAGACGGAGGGACGTACCTCGTAGCTCTCCCGCACGGCAGAGGCGTGTCTGCTGGGGTTCAGGCCCTGGAGGGCCAGGAAGTGGAGCTGAGGGTAAGGATAGTTGCGGATCTCGTGGACCACCTATTGGGGAGAAAAGACCTTGGAAGGAGCTGCTCGGGTGACCCCACCCACCCTGGGGATCCCCCAGCCAGGGAATCCCCCACCCACCCAAGCTATAGCATGAGCTTTTCCTCTCTGTACCTGGGCCGGCCGGGAAGACCAGTGGAATTGAGGACGTCTTACCTAGCTCTGACTGGGCACGTCCTGGGTGGCAAACACCGACCGAGCGCCACACTTCCCGCGACCACCGGGACTATCTCACTGATCTACAATGGCTGTCGGGCTGAGGAGCCCTGAGGTGCCCCTGACCCATAGCAACCTGGAGTGCCCAGCAGAACGAAGCTCTACCCCGCCTGCCATCCTCACACCCGCGGGGCTGTCGGAGCCCCTTGTGCAGCCCGTGGGTCATCCTGTCGCATCGAAGGCCTCGTGTTTTGCGGCCCCTCAACAAGTCATTCCCCAGAACCTCCCTTGGACTGATGGGGTGGGGTGGGGGTGAGGCCACAGAGAGATAAAGTAGCGGGTGTGGCATTGTGCCATCAGATGGCAGAAGCGGAATCTCAAGTCCAGGCACTTGGCCCGTCGCCCCCTCGCCCCTAACCTGCCTCAGAGAGCAGCCCAGACAGAGGGCAGGAGCTTGCGTCGGAAGTGGGGCAAAGAAAGCGGGGCACAAAATTGAGGGGGGAACCCAAGATCTCAATCACCAAGATAAACAATCTTTCGATGACGTGTTTGCCCTCAACATCAAAAAGAACGAAAAATGAAATCCTGAGAACATAAAATATCCAAACTTTAAAATAAGAATAGACGTTGGCTCTGTGCCTGCCATGACCCTGCCTAGCTCCCGTCGCCTCACTGCTGCTGTGAGCAGGGGGCTTCCGAAGTCCTTGTGGCCCCCAGCTGCTACTTCACTGCTCTGACTCAGGGTACCCGTGGGTCAGGGGGGACACGCCTTCTGTTGTAGATATCGATTTGAGGAGCTCGTTCACTTTAAGTGCTTGGAACAGTGCCTGGGGGGTAGGAAGTGCTCGATCAGTGGTCGCTTCTTAGGAGGGGGGCACCGTGGTGCAGACCACAGCCCGTCAGCCAAGACTAAACCTAATTCCCTGCCATCCAGTCAACCCCCACCCATAGCAACCCTGTGGGATTCCAAGACTCCCGACTCTGTTCAGGCCTGGAAAGCCTCACTGCTTCTCCCGAGGAGCGGCTGGACATCTCCAACTATGGATCATGTGACCAGCACCCAGGGCATCACCACTATACCGCCAGGGCTCCCGTGCACCTTCAACGGACCTCATTCTGCGTCAACGCCCCTGAATTTGCTGATAGGGAAATAGAGGGACTGGGTGGCTAAGTCAGAAGTGAACCTCAGGTGGGCCAAGCCCCAGGGGCCTCTGGGGTCTTCTTGGTCCTCATACCGGTGAGCTGCGTGAGGCTGGCATCTTCATTCCCATCTCACGAGTCAGTACAGCCCAAGCCCAGGTGGTGCCAGGCCCCAGACGTGAACTGAAGGAGGCCGGAGCCTTCCCCCATGGACGGCAGCCTGCCACACAGCCCTCCCCACACCTCCAAGTCTGCCTCATGCTCCCTTCAGCAGTTCAGACCGGGTGCAGCAGGATCCCTGCCTGTCTCCCTCAAGCCAGGCTGGCAGAGGGGCTGGGAGGGGAGGGGCCGTTGGCCTGCCTGAGTGCCAGGGCACCAGGGAGCCACCAGGCCCCCGTGGGCATCAGCACCGTCGGCGGGCTGCTGACAGGACCACACACTCACCATCTGCGTGGAGGAGGAGTTTCTGGGGAAGTGGTGCATTCGCGGAGTCGCTAGGTAATGCTGATAGTGCTGCGGGATGGGCCGCACCTGGAACTGCGCGGGGTTCAAGCCGGCGTCCACACTGAGATCCCTGCGGGACACAGCCACAGTAAGTCCCGGGCCTCCCTCTCCAGTCGGCCGCGGCCACAGGAGACCACCCCGACGTCAAGTCCCTGCAGGGACCCCTGGCCACCCAGCCCCTCCCCACCTCCCTCCGCTGGGTGAGGCGGAGCCTGGGCTGCAGGAGCTAGAGACTCTGGAGACAACAAACACAAAAAGCAGTTGCCACAGGATTGACTCTAACTTGCGGAGACGTAGTCGTAGGTGTCAGACTAGAACTGTGTGCTCCAGGTGGTGTTCAGCGGCAGTGGTTTTTTTCTCCTGTAAGTAGCCGGGCCTTGTTTCGCGGCACCTCTCGGTGGACTCGAACCACCCACCTGTGGGGTTGCAGCTGTGCCCGAGAACCATTTGCCCCACCTGGGAACTCCATCTAGGTCCTAGACAACCTCTTGAGACGAACAAATTGTTCAAGACTTAGCCCGCCCTGGAGAGCAAGGTCAAACGAAGACCCCCGGCGGAGCCGTCAGGGGAGAGGGCAAAGGAGGAGCGGGAAGGTCAAGGCAAAAGCGGAGGAGGGAGCAGCGGCCATGTGACAGCCAAGAAGGGGCGTCTACAGCTGTGAGGCCAGACATGCTCCCCCAGGCCGCCCACCCCTCCCGAAAGCATGGAAATAACCTCACTGCCATCGGTCGATTCCGACTCCTGGCCACCCGAGAGGCCAGAGGCCAGCCGCCCCCGTGGGTTTCGGGGACTGTTAGCAAACCTCATCTTTAAGTGGAGAGCAAATGTTTTGAGAATGATGAGGGCACCTAATGTACAAATGTGCTTTACACCATTGATGTGTGTATGGGTTGTGATAAGAGTTGTATGAGCCCCTCGTAACACAATTTTAAAAAAGAGCACAACAACAACAGCAACAAAGAAAACTTCATCTTTGTCCCAAGGAGTGGCTGGTGGTTTTGAACTGCTGACCACATAGTGACAGCCCAGTGAGGAAGCCACTCTGCCGCCAGAGCTCCCATAAGTATAGGAACATCCACTTCACTTCAAGCCATAGAAAGGGACCTGGGGCTCTTGGGAAATGGCCAATCTCAGGTCTGAGGCAGACAATGTGCCGGTGGGTTTGAAACCTCTTGTCGTGACCGAGAACAAGGCTGCTAATGAAGCCCCCAAGAGGCGCGTCAAAAGCACTCCGGGACTACTCTGACGCCGCTCCCACTGGCCAGGGCTGGCACGGTCGCCTGTCAATGAGCCATACTGCACAACTGGAACACTTCCAACATGCTTAAATCCGTGACAGGGAAATTATGCTAAAGAAAAAGGGTCACCCTGGAAAGAGTGTTAGGGAACCAGCTCTGTCTCTTGAAAACTACTAACCACAGGAAAAGAAGCCAGTATTGAACGGCTCCTCCCTCTTAGGGCAGTGCCAACCCCCAGCTGCTCTGTGGGAGAAAGACAGACTCTCCACTCCTGTCAAGAGGGACCGTCTCAGGAACTCACAGGGCAGTTCTACCCTGTCCTGTAGGCTCGCTGAGAGTCGGCGTTGACTCGGTGGGAGTGGGTTTGCTGGGGTTTCCCCTTATTAATGGTACTTCCAAGAACCCAATACTTGGTGAGGGGATAATCCTCTTTTAAAAATAATCCAGCTTAAAATAAAGCAAAGCAACCAAACACTCCACTAAGAAATGAAGGGGGAGCCATGGAATTATTGGTCTCCATCCTGCATCCCAAGCAGTCCTGACCGACCAGCTGCTCTGTGGGAGAACGTGAGGCTGTCCTTTTAGAGACTGACAGCTGCAGAAGCCCGCGGGGTCCTCTCCTCTGTCCTCCTGGGTCGCTGTGCATTGGAATAGCTCACTGGCAGTGGGAGAGAGAGGATGGAATGAGGGGCATTCATGGTGGTGGAACAATTTGGAAAGGGCTATCAATAATGGCTGTACAGCATGAAGAGTATAATCGATGGCACTGAATTGGGGGTTGTTGAATGGTTCAATATTTTGTTGTGTATATTTTTGCCAAAATTAGGGGGGGGGCGGGATCACACGGATAACAATGAGTATGGGGGGAAAAGGAAATGCTCTCAAATCGACTGTGGTGAAGATTGCACAGCTCCTCTTGATATGGCTGAACTACCGAACTGTATGATACGTGGATGAAGTGCCAACAGAACCGTTTAAAAATAGAGGCAAAATCATTCGTTGCTGTCAGCCTCGTATACAGGAGACACACAGGTAGTAAGGGACAAAGCGCGCATGCAGAGTGGGGGCCAAGGGAAGCCATGTGAGTGCACCCTACACCGTCCCGCCCCTTTGCCGGCAGGAGTGTTCCCGAGCGGGGAGCGGGGAGGAGGACACCTGGCAGGGCCGGGAGCTCAACAAGTTGAGGACGGAGGGAATTCAGAGACCTCAGGGCTCTGGAGTTTGCAATTGTGCTCACTGGTGCAGGTTGCCGGCAAAGGTTTGCAGAGGATGAAGCTACAATGAGTGAGAGCCCCGGAAAGCTGGGAGGACTCCCCTGGGACCTCTGCTGGCTCTGCAGACGAACCTGCAGTGCACATGCCATCAGGGAAAGCCAGGACCCCGACGGCACAACACATGGGTCTCAGAGCTTAGCAGGGCTGGGGACACATTCGTGACCGCCAGGCCACCTGGCAGAGACCCTTCCAGGATGGTCCACGTGCTTTATTAGGACAAGTCTACAGAAGGCACCGCTCCAGAGACACTCTAAACCAACTGGCATCAAACCATTTCCAGCGCATGGTGAGCCTGTGAGTGTCAGGGGATAGCTGGCTCAGAGGTACTCCCTAGCCTTGCCATAATGATGTTGGAGAGCGAATCTCCAGATCAGACGGGACTGCAAGTGGTGCTTACACAGAACAAAGGCCGAGACCCTTTGAAGGAATGAAACGCTGCTTGGCAACCATGTCTGTTTCCCAACGTCTACCACGCGACACGAAACGACCAGGGACACCAAAAAGCAGGCCCGCCTGTCTCCTAGGCAGGGGGAGGATAGACTAGCCACTAAGAGATGTCCGCGGCAACACTGAGGAAGACCAGCCAGCTGTAACTACCTCTTGGGGGTCTCCACACTCCAGGCTGGCCCTAAAAACACCCCCTGAGAGGAAGCCCAGGGCCACTGAAGGTTCAACCTCAGATCCTGAATGGACGAGAGGGCAGGAGACACTGTCCTGCAGAAACTCCCTTCCACAGCTTGCCTTGGGGAAGGCCGGACCGCTCTGGGCCCCCACTGTGTCCACTGCTGGTCCCCACACAGACTCAGAACCATGGCTGCTCCTTATGCAGGACAATGCCCTCCTCTCGGACAATTCTGGGACAAACCAAAGCCCCACCAAGCTCACTACCGCTGAGTCAACCCCAACTCAAAACGATCCTCCCAGGACAGAGAACCGCCCTGCGGGTTTCTGAGACTGTACATCACGGCCAGAGCAGAAAGCCTCCTTTTTCTCTGCAAGGTGGCTGGGGGTTTTGAACCACCAACCCTGTGATAAGCAGCCCAAGTTGTAACTCACTACGCCACCAGGCCTCCCATGCTCCGAGGGTGAAGGGCCAGTGGATCTATCAGTCTTCCGTGGGGCCTGAGCGCTGTTGCCTGAGTCAGTGGTGTGTGTGAGGTGGCCCGGGATCCAGCCCCACCTTCTTCTATCTCCACAGTCTAGACCTGTCTGCTGCAGGGAGGCAGGACCGGCCGGTATTCTCACAGGCTCCACACAGCCTTGTCCTCCCCACGCCACACACACCGCACACCGTTCTCCGCATCACCTTACGCACCCGAGCAGCCGCAGGAGCCCTGGTCAGAAGACCCAGATCCTGGTTGCCTTTACCCCTCCTCAGCTGGGCGAGGCCACCCCCAGTATGTTCACCTCCTCGAGCTCGCTCTAGACCAGGAGTTCTCAGCCTTCCTCATGCCGCGACCCTTTCATACAGTTCCTCACGTGGTGGTGACTCCCCAACCCTAAAATCATTTTCATTACTGCTTCATCACTGTCATTTTGCTACTGTTATGAATCAGGCGACCCCTGTGAAAGGGTCGTTCAACCCCCAAAGGGGTCGCCACCCACAGGTTGAGAACTGCTGATCTAGACCAGTGGTGGCAGCAGCTCCTTACAGCAGTGTTGGGGGGCCGGGGGTCGCAGAGCACTTCCAAGTGCAAGGGCTAGTTCTTAGCCCAGACCCCAGCCGGGCCTCATTCGGGGTCTGCCATTTGGAAGGAGCTTCACTCTCAGAGTTCTGTGGAAGCAAACTCAGAAATCGGCGAGTCTAGGCCTTCGTGTGTTGCAGGGCCGGCTAAAGCATGGAGATGAGCCTTGTCTAATTCAAGTCCTTGGCCAGCAAGGCAGGGCCATCACCTTGGTTTCTGAGCCTTCTCTCGGTTCACCCCACTCTGCCGCGTCAGGGGAAGGAGCTCCGGGGGACACCCGCACGTGGCTGAAGCTCTGACTTCCAGCTATCCCCAGGAGCCCCAGAGGTCAAGGGCGAAAAGCGTTGTCCAGGGAATCCCATTCAAAGACAAGGAGCAAAGGTGTAGCACTGGAGCCACCCCCGTCCCAAGAATGCTAACCAGAGACGTCAATGGGTATCTTGGGTCTCAGATGGGTGGGTGGTCCTCCTGGCTGAGCCCGGGTGGGCTCTGGGGTTCCCCCTCTTAAGTTCCCATCAGAGAAGACTTTTGTGCACGTAGTTGCCTCAATGGGGTGCAATTCCACAGAACCTCAAGAAGTCTGGGTTGGAACTTGCCCCGATAATGTAGCAGCTTCTCCCACCTTACCACTGTGGCCACCAGCCTGTGAGAACCTGGCCGAGTTTTGGTGGGGGGAGCTTCCAGAACATCTCCAACAGGTTTAAAGCCTTTGTGTGGAGAGTTCACCCCAAGGGTGAGCCAGAATGGTGTTTGGGGGATTTCCCGTAGAAATTGTCAGTGCCCAGTTTGCCAGGCTCTGTCAAACCATCCAACCTTGTTTTCCGCTGTCGGCATTCATGCGGCCCGCCGTGGTCTGGCAGTTATGCAGCCCAAGTCCTGCTCAAAGACTTGGACCGCAAAGTGCCGAGTGTCATCCTGCGGGTGAGTCCAGACCTGCAGAGTCCCAAGGGCTTTGCTGAGCCAAGGGTATCAGTGGGGAAGGATAGCAGGGGCCGCTCATCCTCCACCCACTTTCTGTCCACGGTGTCTAGGGCCTCTGCCTTGGGTGGAACCAGGGCTTCGGCTGAGCAGGGGGTCAGAGTTGGAGCCAGGATGCCGGGGCGGAGACAGAGAAGGAGCGTGCCAAGGACAAAGGCTGTGGTGCAAGGTGGCGGGTTGGGTTATTGGACCAGAAAGGGGAAGCATTTGACAGTTCATGTGTAGATCAGTTTGAGGATGGGAACTGGTTATTTTTTCCATTGTCTTTTTTGGGGGTAGGGAGGGAATCTTTAATGCCTCTCAGCACTCTCAAAGCAGGAGGCTCAGCTGGGAGAAGCTGCTGGGGAAAGGTAAAGACCAGAGACCAGGGCGGTCCCCACTGGGCTAGACAAGATCTGTGACCCAATATCTGGAAGGTGCTAGGCCCCTTCTGCCAGCGGATGGGCAGCCCAGTCACCGGAATAGGAAATGCATTAGAGGGGGTCTGCTCTTACCGTCTGCAAGAAACTCCTGGGAGGGAGAAGGGGGGAGGGTTGGCAGCTCTCCCCCACCCCCTCCTTCGGAAGCCATGGATGCTGCCCTCGCACCTTCCAGGTACTGGGTCACAGATTCAGGGCACTGCTCTGCGGGAAGGCTTCTCTCTCAGGTGAAAGAAAGGCCCGTGTCTCTCTGAACTGCTGCTCCCAGGTGGTCTGCGGCTGCATCCCCCCACCCGCTTGTTGCTTGTTTGTTTATTCTCTTTCATATTTCAGAGGGGACCTGATGCAAGACCCACCCTAAGAATCCTGTCTCATTAACACAATGCAGACAACCCATTTCCTAATGGGATTATGTCCTCCGGCATACAGATTAAGATTTATAACATATCACTGGGGTGGGGGTACAACTCCATCCATAGTGGGCAATCAACCAGAACTACCTTTTTGCAGCATTCCATGAAAATTCAACCCAAATCCAAAGCCACTGCCTCTTCTGAATCTGTTTAGATTCCTAGGGACTCTCTAGGGCAGGGCAGAATGGCCCCCATAGGTTTCAAGGCAGTAACCTTTTTTTTTAAATTAATCATTTTATTGGGGAACTCTTACAAATCTTATAACAATCCACCATTCAGTAGTATTAAGCACTCTTGTACATATGTTGCCATCAACATTTCCAAGGTGGTAACTCTTTACAGGAGTAGAAAGCCTCATCTTTCTCCCAAAGAGCAGCTGGTGGGTTTGAACTGCTGACCTTGGAGTTAGCAACTCAGCTCGTCACCACTGCACTACCAGGGCTCCTTGGGCCATGAAAGGGGCTTCCAAAGACAGCTGGCCTAAACAGCTGGAAAGTAACACAACTGCACAGCAGTCTTTCAAAATAGTCTCTTTTTTACCCCAATGCTTTTTCTTTTGTTTTTTCCCCTTCAACATTCTTAAAAACGACAACATCAACAAGCTGGTTTTGTTTTTCTTTACATAAAATTAGCACGAAATAACAGTGCCCAGAACCTCCAGGTTCTCTTCACCCAACCGTTGCGGTCGGTCAATCCTGACCAGAGTGGCCGGAAGGACAGGGTTGAACTGCCGAACAAAATGCCCAAGCTGTAGATGTCACAGAAAGTGACCGCTGCACCTGGCTCCCTCCTGAGGGCCAGCTGGTGGCTCCAAGCCACCAGCCTTCTGCTTACCAGTTACCCACGGCACCCCAGGGCTCCTGACCTTTCACCCAAATGTCCCCAAAGGTTCCCACATTTCTATAACCTTCTCTCTCGAACTCACTCCACACACACATGCGCGTGCACCGATTCCCCTCGGTAGGGATGGATACGTAGCTACATAGATATTAGACATAGAGATCTATTCTCGGCTATACATATTTCTATTTATCGAAATGCTTTCTAAATCATTTAAAAACAAGTTGCAGATGTGACGCCCTTGACTGCCGTGAACTTCCGTCAACAGTTCAGTAGTTGAGTGTCCAGCTCCGACCGTAACTTAGATCAGCCCTTACTGGGCTAGCACCAGACCTGGGGAGGACCCAGGAGCCCAAACTCTGCTTAACTGCGTCCCTGGCCAGCAAAGACCTCTGTCCTGAATGCAGCGGGGCGTAGGGAGACTGGAGAGGGATCCCATTCCCCACAAAGACACACGAGCGAATTCCCCACCTCTCTCCTGCCCCGGTGCTTCAGGAACGACGTCCCACACTGGCTCCATGTCGCTGGTGTTCAGGACCTCCCCATCCTGAGGGCTTGGCTGGCATGCCCTACCATCTCTCTGTGGCTCACCTAAGGCCCGTCTCCTCAAGGAAGCCTCCCTTGACCATCTAGCCCCTTGGGACTGAGCCCTGAGCCTCGGTTGGGCATAAGATGGTGTTCATCTGAGCTTGTGGCTGGCACCAGGCCCAGGGGGAGGTCCCCTGATGGGGGGGGTGGAGCAAAGTGGGGGGCCTGGGGTCAGGGCCTCCAGCACTGTTCTGCGTGAAAGACAGAGAAGGGGTAAAGAGTAAGGTGAGGGCGTCCTCCCCAGAGACAAGCCCCAAAGACTCACCAGTCAGTGCCCTCAGCCAAATACCTGGGCTGAGGCGTCTGCAGTTGGTGGCTGAAGTCAAAGCTGGGGTGCAGGCGGTGAGGGTGGACAGACACACGCTCCTGGCTCCGCCTACACCCAGGGAAGAAGGCCCATGGTGTCAGGGGCCTCTCGGGCCAGCCCACCTCCCAGGAGTGCTAGGCACCCCCATCTGGTCTGAGGGTGCCCCTCCTGCAACCCCCACAGAGTCCCACAGCCATGCAGCGGTGGGCTTCACCCCTCTTCCCACACCCCAAGGAGGGCTTCCAAGCTGGACAGCACCCTGGCCCTGCCCTCTCTCCTCCCGCTCTGTCCCAGCAAGGCATTCTACAAGGCACCCAGGCCCACCTCCTGCTGACCCTTCTCCCTCCTGACCCTCTCTACACTTTCCCCAGCACACACGGGCCAGGTCAGCGCCCACCTCCCCCACAAAGGCCTCCCTGACACTCCAAATCATGGTGGTCTCTTCCAACACTCTCCTCTGTCCCCTGCACCCCAACACCCTACAGTTGGGGTCCTCAACACATTTTACTGGCCGGTAGGAGCCCGGCCTCAGAGGCAGGGGTGCTCCCAGCCCCACCCAGCAGCACTCACCTGGGGTGCGAGACCAGCCTGCGGTGCTGGGCTTCCAGGAGCTGCTGCTGCAGGAGGTATTGCTGGTGCAGGGCCTGAGGTAGGAAGGAGGGGCCTGTGACATCCTGGAACTGGAGGGCGGGCAGCGGGGTCAGCGACTGGTGCAGGGTGCTGCTGTGCTGGTGGGCCGGGGCCATGTGGGCGCTGAGGCCTGGCTGGGACTGCACGGGGTGGGCCAGGGGGAAGTCGGGGGCAAGCGGCTGCGGCTGCGGGGGGCCCAGATGGAAGTGGCGGCAGGAGGTAGCGTGAGGGTGCTGAGACCTTTGGAAGGGGGCACCTGGGGAGGCAAGGACAGAGAAGACGCCGTGAGGCCAGCCAGGCCAGACCCGCCCACTCTTACACACAGCGTGAAAGGTCACCTTTAGCCCACCACCTGTGCGCCACAATGTACCTGCTAGGTGGTTGATGATGATGACCGAAATGCTGGAAGCTAGGCTCCCAATCTTTCAAATACCAGTAGGGTGGCCCATGGTGGACAGGTGTCAAGCAGAAGGTTCAGACTAAGATAGATTGGGAAGAAAGACCTGGAGATCTAAAACTGACAACCTCATGGGCTGCCACACAGTGCTGTAGGGTGTTATGCTGGAAGATGAGCCCCCAGGGTGGTGGCCCGCAAAGCACAGGCCAGTGGCCACAACAATCGTTCTGTTGCCTTGAGTCGATTGGTGTGCCCAGCAGCCCTGCCCGATGGGATTTTCAGGGCTGTGAACTTTCACATGCACATCCACCGGTCACTCTCCCTCGGGGCCCTGAGTGGGCGAGAACTGCCAACCCTTCAGCCTGTTGCTGAGTGGCTAACCATGTCCGCCACCCAGGGCCAAAGCAATGGACTGGGGGAGGCCAAAGATGGTGAAGCTGTCGGGGGCCCATGCAGCATTCCCCCCTGTGGGCTAGCGGATGGCCAGGAGTCAGTAGTGGCTCAGCAATAACGAACAATGGCCTTCCATGATGCCACGTACCGCCTCTAACTAGGTGTGCGTGTGTTGGCGTGGGAGGGGTGTGTGCCTGAATGAGCAGGCATGTGTTCTTAAACAACACGTGTGATCCCCGCGGGAGGGAGAGGTTAAAGGAGGTTTCTGGTCCTTGGCTACAGTCCGGCTTTCTTGAATTAGTTCGACCCCACTCTCCTGCACAACCTCATCAGCCTCACTACCCACTTTACACGGACACAAGGTAGAGAAAATGGTCTTCATTCCAGCCAAGGTTGGCAAGTCTTCGAAGCCTTGGTGAGCCAGGACCCGGGCCAGAGGGAGCCCATTAATCCCAGGTTGTTTCCCCGCTCGGTCGTAGGAATAAAGTAAATCACACCACAAGAAGATGCCCCGTGGGATTCATTTCAGAGTAAAACATTTCCCGGTATAGCTGGACTCAGACGCATGGGCTCTGGTCTCCATTACTTTCCTAAATAAAGCTGAGCTGGAGGACAAGGGAACTGCCGTTCTCCACAAGCAAAGATCCAGATCCCGGCACCAGAGTCCCTCGGAGGGATGAGCAGGCCCATCAGAAAAGTCTGCAAGACATCCTGCTCCACATGTCTGCTCCCTCCCTCCCTGCCACTGAGTCTATTCTGACGCCTAGCGACAGAGGGCTCCTCCAGGACACAGTAGAACAGCCGCGTGAGTTTCCTAGACTGTCACAGGGGAGGAGAAAGTCCTGTCTCTCCAGCAGAGAGGCCGGTGGTTTCGAACTATGAACCATGCAGCTAGTGGTCCCCCCTGTAACCACTGTCACCTGGGCTCCCTCCTAGCCCCACTGTCACAAGAGCAAGGGGATAAGAGGAAGTAAAAACACACAAGGGCAGCGAGGCGAGGTGGCGCCAGCTGGCAACAGATGTCAGCAGATTTGGGAGAAGATGGAAGCAGATGGAGGAATCAGCAGAGCGGAGACACCTGGAACCAAGCTCCTACAGAGGAGCTAGTCGACAAGCAGTGGCTAAAGCTCCCCGCGTGAGGCCGCAAGGGGCAAGCATGAGAGGCCATAGCTGGAGGGAGGGCAGAGCTGTGGTGGTGCTTGTTAGCTACCGGAGACTTGTGGCGGCCCCAGGCACCATGGAATGCAAACCTGCCAGGCCTTGGGCCCGCCCCATGACTGGTTGTTGACCACAATGATAGTTTGGGAATTGGGCTATGGTGATCCACAGAGGTCTCAGGGAGTCCCTTTTCCAGAAATTAGTGGCCAAGCATTTCTTCCTGGTTCATCTTGGTCTGGACGCTCTTCTGGAGCCTGCTTAGTGCCAGAGCAACAGGGAGCCTCCACTCAGTGTCATGAAAGCCTCCAGGGACAGCGAGTGGTGGCTTCCTGTTGCCCACAGTCAAACCCAGGTCTCCTGTCTGGAAAATGGGAAGGTCACCTCTGGTGCACCAGGAGGAGCAGGGACTTCCAAGTCTCCTCCCCTCTCCTGTGCAGCCCACTGGCTCCCCCTCTCTAACCTTAGGGAAAGGGAGCCGGAGAGGCGTCAGTGGGGGGCAGTAGGTAGAAGAGGACAGGAGAGGTGGCCAATATGAAATCAGCCCATTCACGAATCCTTTGGAAAGCCTACTGTTTTCTAGCATTTGGTTCGGTGCATCCTGCTCCCGGCCCCTGCCGCATTCCAATCGGAAACTGATACCAAAAGGAGCTCTGCAGAGATCGCTGGATGGGAACCTCCCTAATAAAAAGACTGGAACCCCCAACTGGTCACCCTATCAGGAAGCCAAGAGGCTGACAAATCCAGCCTCACACGCTCTTCCGGACAGCTTGTCCTCTGTCCTACTCTGAAGTAGGGGAGCCCTGGTGAGATCAGCCAGGCCAGCAGTCGGACATCACCGGCCACTATGGGGCATTCTACTCCCGTCAATGGGCAGTCTCCGAGACTCCGGGGGGTGGGGGCAGTTCTACCCTGCCCTATAGGATCAGACGGCCATGAGTTGGCATCGACTCCATGGCGGTGAGGGGTGCCCAGGCCCACAAGGACGTTCACAGAAGGAAAGGAGAAAGCAAACAACAGCAGACGTGACAGCATCTTCAATCTGAGCGGACAGAGACCATGCAGGAAAAGAACAGACTGCAGAACCCTGCCACCAGCATCCTCAGCGAGATGAGACGCTGACTCCCGCAGCCCCCCACGGGAAGGGGCAGGGGGAGAACCAGGCCGGTGCTCGAGGAAGCGAACAACGTAAGAGGTGGACTTTGAAGTTCGACAGAGGGATTGGGAAATGAAGCCGGGGAAGCCTCCCAGGAAGCGGCAGACAAGGAGATGAGGAAGAGAGAAGGGAGGCTGACGGTGGCATCGCGTGAGCAGGAGAAGCCTGGGGGACACAATGAGAGGAAATCGGGGGGGGGGGGGAGGGTACAAATAATGACCTCCTGGAATTCTGCATTTCAATCTAGTTGTTTTCTACATTCTCAATCTAGTTTCTGCATTAAAGGAGCTTTAGCACATCCAATAAAACAGATGGGTGGGGGGTGGAGGGAGAAGCTACCCACACTGAGGCATCGCACTGTGACAAGTCAGCACAACTGGGGGTAGGGGTGGGGGACAAAGGGGTGATTCTAAAGCCTTCCGGAAGGAAAAGGAAAAGAAGCAGGTCCCATATGAAGGATCCGGCATCGGACACACCTATTCCTCATTTATCAACTGTCTCATTATCCGACATCTTGCATGTACAAGGATACGAATCTATAGTTCAACTACGTGGTGTGTTGACGGTCTATGTCTGGCACTCACTAAAGGCGAGGTGAGACGAGAAAGCAATGCTGCCATTATTCCCACGAGCAAGATGGAAACAACCCGAGTGTCCATCGGCCGAAGAACAGATACAAGCCCCAGTGCTTGCATCCAGCGTTAAAGAACAGTGATGACTCCGTGACTGACATGATGCTGAGAGAAATGAGCCCATCACTACAGCACAGATATCATATGCACCCCTGCTCCAAAAAAGTCAAGAAGAGGTTTTGTATTAGAAGGAATATTTTTGGATGGTTACCAGGGGTTCACTTGAGGGCTAACTTGAAAGGGGGCCAATATAGTACAGGAGGGAGGTCTGCCAAAAACAGTGGAGGCACGGGGACTCTGGGTGGAATGCAAGAGTCAAAGGCAACAAAGTCAGTGTTGCTATTTACACCACCCTGCAATAACAGTGGTGAGGGAGCCTGGTGGCCTACTGGGCTATGAGTTGGGCTGCTAACCACAGGGTCGGGAGTTCAAAGCCATCAGCCACTCCACAGGCAACAGGTGAGGCTTTCTATTGCTATTAATACTTAGAGTCTCGAAACCCACAGGGGCAGTTCTACTCTGTCCTGTGGGGTCGCTATGAGTCAGAATTGACTCTGGCAGTGAATTTGTTTGGATTTTTCTTTTTATGAGTAGGTGAATGGATGGATCTGCAGGCTGAATGGGGGGGACGGGGGACAGAGTGGAATACAGCCAGGAATATATATTTTGTTGTTTTTAGGTGCCATCGAGCCAGTTCCGAATCACAGAGGCCGTCTGCACGACAGGACAAAGCCCTGCAGGGCCTGCCCGTCCCCACCATTGCTCTCATGCCTGAGCCCGTTGTGGCAGCCGCTGGGTCATCCATCTCGTCAAGAGCCTTCCTCTTTCCCCTGTCCCTCTTCTTTACCAAGCATGGCGTCCTTCTGCAGACACTGGTCTCTCCTAACAAGCCTCGCCATCCCCGCCTCTGAGGAGCATTCTGGCTGCTTGGCAGGGGATAGTTGTAAAGCGTACTTACCTTGGCCGCAAATAAATCCACGAATGCGGCGGAGCATGAAGGGTTGAAGTAGAAAACTTCTTAGCCCCTTGAGGGAAGGAGACACTGGGCCTGAAGACTCGGGACCATGGTCTCGGGGGACCCCGAGGTCAATGATCACAACACACCGCCCACTAAGAAGCTGTCCTACACTCTACCATCTGATGAGGGACCGAGGTCTGAAATGCGTGTCAGTGACCCTGTGAGGTACAACTGGTGGACGTTGCCCTTTGGAAGAGAGCAGAGTGAAGGAAATGGAAGATGCACGGAGCTCATTCGTCCAGTATGATAATGGACCACGCGGACATCGGTGCCCATGACTCTGAGGCCAGAAAAGCTAGACGGGGCCTGGCCACCTCTCTCACCTACTTGAAAAGCAGTGACAAGACAAGGTCCCCGATAGAATGGGAGCAGAACTCAAAATCCTATAGGGACCAAGCTTTTGTAGAACAGAGAGTGATGGGACCCCCCCAAAACTACAGCCCTAATCACCCTTCGAGGCTGGACTGGATCTCACGACCCTGACTCAATGTGCAGCCAAATGACAGACCTCTCTCAGGGGAACGATCACACCAGTGAGGTCCACACACCTTAGACTAAGCAACCATTTGAGATCACAAGGGAGGCCACGGACAAAGCTCAGACGGGATAGGAAAGGAGGAGGACTAGAAACAGGCAACACAGGGAAGGGGTGGGAGAAAGGGGAGGAACGTGGGACTTGCAACCCATGAGATGAAACA